GATGTCTCAGGCGAAATGCTTGTTTTCACGTCCCGCTCGCAGGAATTCCGAGGATGTCTCGCGCGTGCAGCGTCCCGCGCGTAGGAATTCAGATGATTTTGACAGGATGTCTCGAGCGAAACGCTTGTCCCCAGCACGTTCCGTAGCGCGTCCCCTTGGCACGTCCCGCGGTGCGTCCCCATGGCACGTCCCTTGGCACGTCGTTTTTCGCGTCCCTTGAGACGTTCTGCGTCGCGTCCTCCTGGCATGTTCCCCTGTCCATTAGCTCTGGGGCAGCTACTATGTGTTCAGGCAGCTCGAGCTTAAGATCCAGATCAGTTCGGTCAGGACTCGGATGCAAAGGAGGACTCGATCCACGAGGCTATAGAGCACAATCGCACCATGGCACATCGCAATTCAGCACGGCGCAGCACAGCACTGATTTCGGCACGGTACATCAAGGTCGATACACTCAGCATTGCAACTTGGCACGTTCCTTGGCACGTTCCGTGGGGCGTCCTTTGGCGAGTCCCCCTGGCACGTCGCGTGGCGCGTCCCCTGGCACATCCCGTGGCACATCCATTGGCACGTTCCGTAGCGCGTCCCCTTGGCACGTCCCGCGGTGCGACCCCATGGCACGTCCCCTGGCACGTCGCCTGGCGCATCCCTTGGGACGTTTCGCGGCGCGTCCTCCTGGCATGTTCCCCTGTCCATTAGCTCTGGGGCAGCTACTATGTGTTCAGGCAGCTCGAGCTTAAGATCCAGATCAGTTCGGTCAGGACTCGGATGCAAGGGAGGACTCGATCCACGAGGCTATAGAGCACAGTCGTGGCATGGCACATCGCAATTCAGCACGGCGCAGCACAGCACAGCCCTCGGCAGGGTACATCAAAATCGATACCTTCAGTATTGAATTTGCCCGTCACCCAATCAGGTGTCTTTGAAAGCGCTGCCATGTGTTACAGTTCTGCATTCCTTTCCGGGTTCGTGGGTCGATCATGTTTGACACTACTAGAAACCTATCAGTCTTCGCTGTTAGGTAAAAACTGGTCCCGGGGAAGTGGTCGGGAGGTCGGGGGCCCGCGTTTCGAAAAAATCGAGACGTCGGATGTCTGGGTTCCCTGCAGTTCGACACTGGTTGGTTCGACGCGGGGTCGGCGTGGATTCGGCGCAGAATCGGCGCGGGCTCGAAGCGGATCTGGCGCGTTCGGCACGGAGGGGCGCAGAGCCGACAGGGACGGCGGCGCGATCGGACAGAGGATGCCCCCCGAAGATGCAGCATCAGGTTCCCTGTCCTCTGGGATCGGGCCGGCTGCGTCGGGATCGGGATCGGGCCGACCGCTCTGTTGATCGGGGGTGCGTTCCCCAGGCCACCGGGTGCACCTCGGTGGAGAAGCCGGAGGTGCTTGCAGCCTTCCCCCCCCCCTCGGCCGCTGCTGTCCGCTGATGTAGCTGTCGCCGTTCAGGAGAGGTGTCCCGAGGAAGAGGTTTCCCGCAATTTGCAGCTTGCCCAATGACCAGATATCCACCTCGAGTCGTTCTTGCCACTGTCCTGCAGCATCGTAAAAAATCGCGCCCGGAGCCCTACACCCCATCTTTCTTCGTCATTGTTCGAGCCGGATCGATCTGTGAGGGTCCCGTGGCTTCAAAAAGACGGAAACGCCTGGCTCGAAAGAATCGAGACGCCCGGATCTCAGGGTGGGAGGCAGACGCGATTTTTCTGTTCAGAGAACAAATCTATCAAGCGGGGGGGTGGGGGGGCATACCGAAACACCGTAGGGCACGCCAGGGCACCGACCGTAGGGCACCGACCATATGACAATGCCAAGCGCGGGGGCACCACGGGGCATCAGCCGTAGGGACGCGCGTGGGAACGGCCGAATCCACAGCACAGGGCCAGCCTTACGTCGGGCATGTCCTGCTACAGGAGGGAGATCCAAGAGCAGTCAAAAAATAGTCGGCGGATGAAGTTTGACTATGTTTGATGATTTTCTTTGCATCGTTGCTGACTGCTTTTCCCGGAAAGGGCTCGAGCCCAGGGTTCTCTTTTAGCTGTTAACCCCCGGATCTGACGGCTGTAGGGCCGGCGAAATTATTCTGCGATAAATTATGTGCGGGAGTAGGGCCGGCGGAATTATGTTTGAGGATGTCTCGAGCGAAACGCTTGTTTTTCAGAATGTGTTGAGGATGTCTCGAGCGAAACGCTGGTTTTGCAGAGTTGGGGATGTCTCGAGCGAAACGCTTGGTTTCAGAATTTGTTGAGGATGTCTCGAGCGAAACGCTGGTTTTGCAGAGCCGACCGCGACACGGAAAATCGCCCCTCGCGCAGGAATTCTGAAGATGTCTCGCGCGTGCCGCGTCCCGCGCGCAGGAATTTAGATTTCTTGGGATTTTGACAGGATGTCTCGAGCGAAACGCTTGTTTTTCATAATTTGTTGAGGATGTCTCGAGCGAAACGCTGGTTTTGCAGAGTTGGGGGATGTCTCGAGCGAAACGCTTGCTTTTCAGAATTTGTTGAGGATGTCTCGAGCGAAACGCTGGTTTTGCAGAGTTGGGGTATCTAACATGGCGTCGGGCCCAACGCCGAATTATGAGGAAAAGTGATGGCTTCTTGCTCTGAACAGGGGGGTGCGCTTTGGGGGCCTCTCCAGGGAAGACGTTGTGAGGATGTCTCGAGCGGGAGCGCGAATTCAGCGTATCCAAGTCACGCAGAGGGGTATCTAACATGGCTGTCCCGAGCTGGAACCACGCGTTTGTTCATGCTCAGGCCACCCAGGGAGATCTCTAACATGATTGTCCCGAGCTGGAACCACGTGTTTTACGTGTCCAGGTCACCCATGGGGGTATCTCTCATGGTTGTCCCGAGCTGGCACCGTGTTTTTACGTGTCCAGGCCACCGATACGACGCTTGTCCCCAGCACGTTCTGGAGCGCGTCCCCTTGGCACGTCTCGCGGTGCGTCCCCGTGGCACGTCCCCTGGCACGTCGCCTGGCGCGTCCCTTGGAACGTTCCGCGGCGCGTCTTCCTGGCATGTTTCCTTGTCAGTTAGCTCTGCGGCAGCTACTGCGTGGACTATGTGCTCAGGCAGCTCGAGCTTAAGATCCAGATCATTTCGGCCAGGACTCGGATGCAACGGAGGACTCGATCCACAGCGCTATAGAGCACACTCGTGGCATGGCACATCGCAGTTCAGCACGGCGCAGCACAGCACAGCCCTCGGCACATTACATCAAGATCGGTACACTCACTCAGCATTGCAACTTGGCACGTTCTTTGGCACGTTCCGTGGCGCGTCCTGTGGCGAGTCCCCCTGGCACGTCGCGCGGCGCGTCCCCTGGAACGTCCCGTGGCACGTCAATAATGCATTGGCACGTTCCGTAGCGCGTCCCCTTGGCACGTCCCGCGGTGCGTCCCCATGGCACGTCCCCTGGCACGTCGCCTGGCGCGTCCCTTGGAACTTTCGGCGGCGCGTCTTCCTAGCATGCCCCCCGTGAATTAGCTCTGGGGCAGCTACTATGTGCCCAGGCAGCTCGAGCTTAAGATCCAGATCAGTTCGGTTAGGACTCGGATGCAAAGGAGGACTCGATCCACAACGCTATAGAGCACAATCGTCACGTGGCACATCGCAGTTCAGCACGGCGCAGCACAGCACAGCCCGCGGCACGGTACATCAAGATCGGTACACTCACTCAGCATTGCAATTTGGCACGTTCTTTGGCACGTTCCGTGGCGCGTCCTGTGGCGAGTCCCCCTGGCACGTCGCGCGGCGCGTCCCCTGGAACGTCCCGTGGCATGTCCATTGGCACGTTCCGTAGCGCGTCCCCTTGGCACGTCCCGCGGTGCGTCCCCATGGCACGTCCCCTGGCACCTCGCTTGGTGCGTCTCTTGGCACGTCCCGTGGCACGTCCATTGGCACATTCCGTAGCGCGTCCCCTTGGCACGTCCCGCGCTGCGTCCCCATGGCACGTCCCCTGGCACGTCGCCTAACGCGTCCCTTGCGACGTTCTGCGGCGCGTCCTCCTGGCATGCTCCCTTGTCAATCAACTCTGGGGCAGCTACTAGTTATGTGCTTAGGCAGCTCGAGCTTAAGATCCAGATCAGTTCGGTCAGGACTCGGATGCAAGGAGGACTCGATCCACAGCGCTATAGAGCACACTCGTGGCATGGCACATCGCAATTCAGCACGGCACAGCACAGCACAGCCCTCGGCATGGTACATCAAGGTCGATACACTAAGCATTGCATTTGCCCGTCGCCCAATCAGGTGTCTTTGAAACGTTGCCATGTCTTACATTTATATTCCTTTGCGGATTCGTGGGTCGATCATGTTTTATTCGTCGTCCGAAATCAGCCTGTAGGGGGACGTGCCCGACCTACGGCCCGCCACGGGGCCCCTATCGCAGAGGCCGTCAACCGAAAAGGGCACCTGAAAGCACAGGATGCCAGCCGACAGGGAAGCGCCAGGGAACGGCCGACTGCGCAGCACGGAGCGGTCCCTCCTCCTCCTCTTCCTTCTCCTCCTCCTCCTCCTCCTCCTCCTCCTCCTCCTCCTCCTCCTCCGCCTTTCCCTCCTCCTCCTCCGCCTTTTCCTCCTCCTCCGCCTTTTCCTCCTCCTCCTCCTCCTACTCCTCCTCCTCCTCCTTCCTCCCCAAAGACCTCCGACGTCGTGTTTCGCCCCTGACGTGGACGCATCGGGCGTGCGCAATCGGGGCAGCGGCTGGGAACGGCCGACTGCACGGCACCGGGCACGCCGTGGGCCCTCGGGGCGTGCGGCGCCCTGCGCGGAGCGGAGGGCACCGACCAGGAACGGCCGAGTGCGCACCCCAGAGCGAGTCTTCTCCTACGGCGCGTGGGAGATTCTCGCTGGGCAAGCTCTGGTAGGGGAAGTGCCAGAGTCAATGTTCGAACGGTGCGCAACAGAGCCGCTGCCATGTCTGGTCGAGCCGCTTCCGAGAAGGCGGGGATGGGAGGGTCCTTGGACTCCTGCTTCTCCTCCTCCTCCTCCTCCTCCTCCACCGTAGCCGTTTTGGCTCCAGCTCGCCGTTGCGAGTAGAGGCTCTGGCCGCGTGCTCTGCCTGTTTCGCCGCGCAAGCGCCATGTCGGCTGCCTCACAATCGTCGCATGACAAGCGGTACGACGTCTCTTTAGGAGGAGGGTGGAGTTGGTTTGGTAATCTTTCCAAGCCTGAGGCGGAGCTACATTCCGAGAGGTACGTCAGCTACATGATGAGCATCGACCTCGTCCTCAGGGATTGGTCGGAGAAGAAGATCAGCGACTCCAAAGCGCTCCTGAACGCCGACCACTACATGCACAAGGTGACCGGACTCGGCACAGTGAACGCCGAGCGAACCAGGTTCCTCCTCATGCAGAAGGGCCTCGACGACCAGAGACGACTGGACCTGCAGCGCGAGTACCAGGCGCTGAGAAAGGCGTGCGGCCTGGCGCAGCACATCAGGCCTGGCCACGGCCACCACGACGGCCACGGACGCGTTCGCCCAGATTGCTGTGCGGCAGCGCAGAAGAAGCTCCCGTGCTGCTGACGTCCTCTGGGCTGGCGGGCACGAGTGGTCGCCGGAGTCTGCTGTGCCGTCTCAGAAGTTCCAGCGAGCGGGGCAGCGTCTGTTCTTCATCCTCCCCGGCCTTATCCTCCTTCCTCCTTGCACTCTCCCCCTTCCTCGTCCCTCCCCCACTCCTCGTTTACACTTGCCCAGCTCACCGGAGCACCTGCGACGGCATGCTCAACCCAGACGAAGGCTCGTGGCCAGGAGGTCTGTTTCCGAACGCCTGCGCCCGTGTTCCAGCAGCCCCCTTTCCCGCCCAGGGCCAGCCGATTCTTCGCCCAGCAGCGTCGGGGCAGTTGGCCTGGCTCCCCCCCTTCGTGGGCCCCGGAAACAGCAGGGCCGTTTTTTCGTTTCCAAAAAGAGGTCCCTCGAAAATGGAAACGGCAAAAAAACGGCGACCGGAAACGGCAAAAAAACGGCAAAACAACGGCGACGGATCCGGTAACAAAAACGGCGATCGGAACCGGTAACAAAAAACGGCAAAACTCGGCCGGATGGCGATGGGGGGATCAGGACATGGGGGGATGAGTATCCGGTACCGTCTTGTTGGGGTACAAGTTGTACCTTCTCTGCGGGTTGCAAGTATAAATTGTACCTTCTCCCCCCCCGTTAACATCCTCGCACATGTCGCGGACGTGGTCAAATGTACAACTTGTACCTTGTCTGCGTGGCGTCGGTACAAATTGTACCTTCTCCGTGGGGCGTAGGTGCAATTTGTACCTCGGTTGCGCCTCTCTCCCCATCTGGACTTATCCCCCCATATGCATCCCGCCAAAAAACGGAGCCGATAAAAAAAACGGCCCTGTCGTTTCCAGCCCCCCCCCCAAGCGCGTGCACGAAGCTGCACGGGCAGGACCAGCTCGCCGCTGCCCCGTGCTCCTGCCGGCAGGCCGACGCAGCAGTCGCAGGCTGGCCGCTCGCTCGCAGGCCTGGAGGTTGACACCAACACCAAGATCGGCGGCGTTCCTCCACCGAGGGAAGAAAATCCCGATCTCGGTGATGCTGGTAATACTCTGGCTTCCAAGGTGGCCGAAACATTACCACCCATTCTAGGATCGTCTCCACCCCGTGGAGGCAGCCCCGTGTCTTGGAGTTGGTGCCCATTTCCAGGCCTCCAAGCTCGCGACAGGCCCTGCGCCGCGTCGGCGCGGCGCGCGGCCCCAGCGCGGGCGCTCGAAGGGTGGAGCGCCGCCAGCCTGCTGTCGAGCCGGCCGAGCCTGCCGTCGAGGGAGCTGCGCCGTCGGCAAGCCGCCATCTTTGGGCGTCGACGGCCCGCACGGTCCTGGCATCGCTCGGACGTGTGCATTTTTTTCTCGGCGAGGACCATCGAGGAGCATCCTTTATCATTTGGCGAAAAAACCACGCACAAAACCGAAAAAAAGCACAGGGAATGGACGTCCGAGCGATGCCGAGTTGCTGGACTCCCAGATCCCAACCTACTTCAGCCGCCCTCCTACTTCCACCGTCGAGTGCCTTTCCATCTTCCCTGCTTCCAGCGCCGTCCGACTCCATGCTTCTACCCGCTTCTCCCGACTGACGGGTATAAACCGCCCGCCGACGTCCGCGAACCACGATCGTACATCGTTATCGGGCGTAATCGTCGCTCGCACCGTTCGTGCCCCGGCGACCCTTCTCGTCGGGCCCGCTGTTGCCGACTAGGACCACTCTTGGAAGCACTACATATATGATTAAAGCCATGTATATATATATATATATATATATACACAAGACTGCAGTTTCGCTTCGCGCCATGCACCTTGATCCTTGAGGCTTGGTATGCAGGCAGACTAGCGGGAAGGTCAAGCCGATAATTTAGCGATAACTCCTTTTTCCGGCATCGCCGCATAATAATGTTATTCGTTGTTTTTCCTCCGTGCTTCTTATTCCTAATTTTCGCCATGGCCTGCGCATTCTCCCCATCCTCCTCAGCTCTTTTTGCGGAGGCTCCTCCTTGGAGAGCCTCTGAGGGCCTCATGGGCGTGCTCTGGAGGCTTTCTTAAGGCCTTCTGGAGGCCTCCTGGGCGTGTTCTGGGGGGTTCGGGGGGTTTGTCGGGCCACCCTGCCTCCAACCGCGGTCTCCCTGAACGACTGGGTCACGATTTGGGATGCTTCGGGGGGTGTCTTGGGGCCATCTTGGGCCGCCATGGGGCTCCCTGAGGGCCATCTTGGACCCCTGTTGTGCCGTTTTGGGGCTCTCTTGGACTGCCTGGAAGCCCTTTCGGATGGTTGTGGGGCGATTTTGGAGCCTCCCAGGCGGCTTCGGACGCCCAGAAGACCGCCGTCTTGGAGCGTCGGGAAGCCGAAAAGAGGAGAACCCCCAAATGCGCCATAAACCAACAAAATCAAGGATTTTCGCCTCTTGGGGCCTTCTTGGGAGTGCTCTTGGAGGCCTCTTGGGACGTTTCGGGACGATCTTTGGGGGTATGACGGCTTCTTGGGGGTCGTCGTCGATCGTATTGGGGCTCTCTGGGGTCGTTTTGGGAGCGCTCCACGTCCTGCGAGGCCCTGGGGGCCGCTTCGAGGCCCGTCCGGAGGGTCCCTAATGCCCCAGATCCCGGGAGTTCGGTTTTTTGGGGGGGAGCGGTGTCGAGTTTTCCCCCCGCCCGGGCTTGTAAAAATATAGAAAGAGGAATATACACATACAATATTTAATCGCTTCGCTCATTCCGCCGGCCCTGGAGCCCTCTTTAGGACCTCTTGGGGGCCTATTGGGGACCTCTTGGGAGTCTCTTGGGGCTCCTTGACGGCGTCTTGCGGGCCCCCAGGGCCTCTTAGGGGGCTCTTGGGGGCCTCTTGGGGCGGGAGGGGGGGTAGTCGGTTGCGGCTGCCCCCTCGGAGGCCACGATCCTCGTGAGGATTGTCGAGAAATTGCCCGGTCCGGCATCTCTGACCAGACCCTCCCGGGACTTGCCCGGGGTATTTTTCGCCCTGGGACCCCCAGGGGCCGCCCCGCGCGCGCGAACTAGAAATGTTGAGAACCAGTCACCGGAGATCTTCGCACGCCTCTGGCCCGTTGGGCCGGCGAATTATGTTCATCAGGAGGAAAAGAAACACACAGACACAATTAATCCTCGATTCCCCAGAAAATATGGGAAGTGGTTGGGAAGACAGAAACCCAGAAAATATGGGAAAATATGGGGAATATTTTTATTTGTGTGTATTTATTTGTGTGTCCTAATTTCCCTTTAGTTCATCCGAGGCGGCGGTCGTGGATCCACCGAAAAGCTCGGGCGACGAGGGCTGCACAGGTCCACTGCCCCGGGCGTCAGGCCCCTCCCTGGGCCCAGGGGGGCCGTGTGCATGCCGCACTCCAGGCCAAGCCAGGAGGGCGCAGACTCCGCCCCTGGGCCCAGGCTGGACCTGGCCAGGAGCAGTGGACAGGTACAGACTGAAGTCGGGCGTGTCCCTCGACAGAAGGAGTCTTCCAACCTACGCAAGCCATGGTCAGGAGACGATGTTCCTACTATGCTTGACGATTCTTGACTTTGACCATTTCTTGTCGTCCAAAACCCGCCTGCATGAGGACGCGCCCGACCGAAGTGTAGACACCCCCCGCCTCGCGCACGGGGGCCGCCCTGGCGCGCGCCTGCCGCGCACCTCGAGCCCTCGGCGCGGGCCGCGGCAGGGGGCCGACCCGCGGGATCGGCCGGCCCGAGGGCCGCCGGCCCCACTGCCATCCCAGACCCCCTCCAGTCATGAAAAAATCACGACGACGACGCGAGGTTTTTCGCTATTTTCGGCCTCTGGGGGCCCTCACCGGCCCTCGGGACCGTCATAAAACGACTCGGGGTGAAAGGCCGGTCCCGGCGAATAGGTCCAAAACTCTGGGGGTCGCGTCATGAAAAAATCATGACGTCGGGGGTCTGGGTTCTGCGCAGCTCCCGCCGTCGCGCTGCGGCGGCGGTGCGCGCGCGCGCGCGGAGGGCGGGGCGCGCGCGGTGCGGCTAACGCTTTCTGCGGCCACGCGCTGACAACTGGCACGCCTGCTGCTGTAGATCGGCCACGTGCAGAGGGAGGGGGGGTGAGGGGGGAGGGCTTCTGAGAGTCGCCCCTGGTTCTGAGAAGGCGCAGGCCTTACCTACAGATGTAAGGCCAGCGCCTTCTCAGAAGCAGCCTCCTTCTAAGAAGCCTTCCCTCCTCCCTCCACCCCCTTGTGCGCACCGCCAAGTATACGGCCCCCAGGAATCACCGAGCGCGTTCCACTACTCGAAGAATGCCTACTTGCAAACGTCCGGAAAACGCATGGCTGCGTCGGTGTAATGTGTCGTAAATCCCCCTGGTGGATCCAGGCCATTTGCGAGTAGTGACTTTGCGAGTGGTGAAGCGCGCTCGTTTAAACCCAGAGATCCGAGGATATGATTGTTTCAATCCAGGGCCCGTCCTTAGGCTGCTGTATTATCCGAACAAGAAAAATGCCATAAGCATAAACGTTTGGCGCTCCGCGCGGCTTTTCCTGGATCCCGGCCCCCAGGGCCCGTCCCTGGGCTGCTGCATTCGAACAAGAAAAAAAACGCCATAAGCATAAAAGTGTTGCGCTCCGCGCGGATTTCTTGGATCCGCGCCAGGCGCGCTCCGCGCGCCAGGGAGGGGGGGCCCAGCGCGGATTTAAGAAATCCTCGCGGGGCGCCAAACGTTTATGTTTATGGCGTCCTTTCTTCTGCTATGTATACGGCCCCCAGAATTCACCGAGCGCGTTCCACTACTAGCAGAGTGCCTGCTTGCAAATGTCTGTAAAACACATGTTTGAATCGGTGCAATGTGTCGTAAACTCCCCTGGCGCATCCAGGCCATCTGCGAGCAGTTTCTTTGCGAGTAGTGGAACGTGGTTGTGTAAACCCAGAGATCCGAGGAAATGATATTTTCAATCTGGCAGCTTCTCCTGGATCTCGGCCTCCAGGGCCACTCCTCGAGCCCCGGGACCATCACATATGGATCTGGGACGAAAGACCACCCCTGGGGAAGGCGGGAGACCATCAAAA